TCGCATCCTCGTCTGGTTCCCCACACTGGTCTATATCACGCACAGATCGACTTGAAATGTACAAGTCACCATCACACTACCAATGCCTATTAAGAGGCCACAAATAAGAGAGCATGGAGACATCCTTTGTTTTCAGTAGTTGGTTGACACACATGCCGTCGGCCCTACTTACCCATACTCTCAGCGGCAAATCTTGTCGTTCCAATCGCTCTTGGTTTCTAACTTGGCAGAATCTACATCCATGTACAGAACTCCTAGTTTCTAGCATATGAAATAAACAGGTGTATCAAATATAGTCATTTGTTTTTTTAAATCAAGAAGAATTAACTACAGACTAACAAACAGAACGACGATTATCTTAGTGATGCCTCCAATCTCTAGGACTCTTCAACTTCTACGTTCTGCTGTCGTGTCTTTGTTTTATTTACGACATTTTCTTTGATAGTTAAACATTTCTTTAGATGGCGCACAAATTTTACAGTGTCACCCAATTCTATTCACAAAACAATGACCTTCAAGGGAGAAAGAACCTCACCCTGTGGAGTCAAACTTCTAGTCCAAGTGTGATCTGCGTAGATTGTTTTGGTGTGGAGTCGATTACCACGTCTATAAATATAGTTTTTAACACTTACGGAAAATGCATTGCCGCGGTTGCAAAGGTAGTGACAACGAGGGTAATCTCAGGCGAAAAGGTAGATGTCAGCGCATCCCATACCTATGCACTAACAATTTCTGAGCCTCCTTAATTTGGCCCATGCCAAGCATCAAGTCAGCTTCCCACATAGATTGACAAAGTGGTGCAAGCTGCTCTGAGATGGTTCATTCTTACTAGTAAATCTTGATGTATTGAAGCCGTTTTACAAGCGGTGGTGAAACATCAAGTCAAGTGGCGTTTGACTGTTGCATTAAGGGACTTAGTAAAAAGGGCGATGTTTTTTTTCCTTTTTGTAATCCCAAAGTTTATGGTTTGGCTTAAAACGCCAATGGCATAATATTTTGCTCACCTGTAGATTATTCGGACTCAATTTATTTTACCTATTTGGCAAAGTCTGACCCGAACACTATTATGGCGAAGTAATAAACACTTGGTAGGAAAGTTGGTTTCTCCTTTGCGCCCATATCACCTTCCAATGGATGTGATTGAGACCTACACATTTGTAAGCGCATTCTCCGATTGCAGAAAAGGAAAAAGCTTTACTTTAACACTACAACTTCCAAAAAGGCATCAAACATGGCACCATTTAAGAGTGATCTACGCAACAACTTGTCGCTGATTGGGTGGGGTACAAGGCCACGATTTGATTGGCCAATGCCGGTCTGGAAGTATGCTGCCTTTCAATCACCTCCGCTTCAGTCGCCATAATTATCGTCTTTGGCTCTGTTTGGAAAAATTTCCAGCTACGATTTTGAAAGCTAACCAAATTGCATGTAATGGGGAGAAAGTAGTTAGTCAAGTACTAAATTGATGATAGTAGGATTTTGTCATCTGTCGATACTAAATCAGAGCTGATCTCCCCTCAATGATTTAAGTCTCCTAAGTTATGAGATTTCAAGTTGGGCCAAAACGCGGAACGAGAACCTACTAGTTTATGCTATATAACTGGGAAACACTTATTTTGGATTGTTTGCTTTCTCTGGAAGTCGAATAAGATTGCCTGTTTTACTGTATTTCACTTATTATTCAAACTAGTTAATTTTTCGTTTGCGTTGTAGGCCAAAGCCGACACTCGTGAGTACAGCATGTCAGTTGCTGCGTTCTCCGACTCCCTCGGCATCACCTGCGCTGCATTTGTTGCCATTCCTCTGCATAACTGGCTCTGTCGCTTAATTGCCCCTAAGCCTACTTAGTTCTAACTTAGATTACCTTTATTTCTTGCCTTCCGTAAGTTCTTTTTCCCCTTCTCCGAATCATGGATTGTGCCAAATATATTTTGCCTCGATACTGATGTAACATAAGTAGCCTCGGCTGTGCCCCGTCTGTTTGATCTCGGTGGAAGCCATCACACTTCAGGAGACTGAGGTGGAATGTGGCTATCCCTTAGCATATTGTCGACCAAGGCATTCTTGTAGATACTGGCGTCCATGGCCGGCAGTGTCATGGTAATAAAGGGGTCAGATGAACAAATCTGACAGAAATCAACGCAAAGACAAGCACGATAGCACTCCACCACCAAGACGCGTCCTATGACGCCTCCCATTTCGATTTTTCCCATGGAAATAGTGATCGAGATCGGCTTTCATGCTTAAAGTCTACCATTTCATCGTTGCCTTTTACCCTAGCAGTCATCTATCCGTCAGATGAAAAGCAACTACTGGAGGGGAATGGATAATTTTTTTTTCAGATCCCTACAATTGGTATTCCACTTTGAAGCGGAATTTAAGTTATTCGAAACCCGATTTCGCCTCCACAGTTCCGGTTCCTCCGGAGATCGCACTGATGAAAGGAAGAGGAGAGGTGGGGTAGGACGCCTTTATAAAAAATGATTCACTGATTATGACAATGGTTATGGTGAGTAAACATTTGAAGAATTGGGGGTGTCGAAGCTCAGTTCCGAAAGGACTGAGACGGGCAATTTATCGCGATTTACTGGACGTAGCATGTGACGGCCGAAAGGCTGAAATCAGAAGACAACGCAACGTGAAAAGCTAAGTCGGATGATAGCTCGGAAAGTTAGTTCTTCCTCAGATTATGCAAAACTTGTGCATTCGGCTAAAACTATAAAATCTGTATCAATTTTGTCGCACTAAGTATCGAACAGTAACTAAGAGATTTAGGTGTAGACATACCAGTGTAGCAGAAGTAGTCGCATCAGAAGTGGCACCTTGCTTTGCTCTAAAATCACCAGATCGTAGAGCACCTTCTGCTCCTCGGTTGCGAACTCGCCGCAGCATCGGTGTTTGAAAGATCGGAGTGAGGGGCGGTGTGAACTCGTTATCGTTTTCGTCATCCTTTGGTTGCCTCTTCGGACTGTCCGGACTCTCCGGGCTGTCCAACTCGTGGCGCATGTTGGCAAACTTCGCTTTCAATGCACGTGCAATCAACTCGGCGGGATCTAGTCGACTGTGGAAGTAGCGAGCAATAAAAATTGTTCCCATTGAAGACTTTCGTGCGGTATTCATTACCAAAACCGTTAATTGGTTTGACGAATCAAAGAACCATATTTGAAAAGGCTTAGATTATCATACTACTTTCTACTAAGCATGCGTAATACCTTAACTTTGACTTCTGCCAACAGGTTGACCCAACTGGAAGACAACTGTAAGGATGTAATTGACAGTAATGAGTAGTGTCCGGACTGTAATATGCTTGAATCTATAGAAACTGATTAATAGGTAAAGGTATGCAAGTGGTTGCACGGCATTTCGCTTAACAACTACAGGACGTATTCGGTACTTCCACCTTCTGAGGTTCATTCAAGATCTATTTACTGCGAATAGAATTCATTGAGCGTTCTTCCATCCTTCCAGACTCAAAATGGTGCCCACCTTGTGGACATATTTCCAAGGCCCTTGTGAACTGCCTCATTTGAACCACATCCAGGTAAAACATTTCATGGACGCAATGTGACATTCTCAAATTTGGTTACCCAGAGACAACGTTAAATTGTTTAGTAGCATGGAGTCGTCTCATCAAAAATTCCAAGGAAACAAACGTAGAAGTTTCTACAAATGGCATATGAAAAAAGGGACACTTGCGGCAATCAAGTAGGGGACTCTAGAGCCGATAGAAATTATTCAAGTGCAAAATGAATGCAAGGCGGTAGAAATGACACCTGATTTAAATGAGTGTTTGACTAAACAAACCTTGAGCATCTTCAAAGACTCAACCACTACCGGGATTCAAGTGTTATTGGGAAAATAACTTGATGTGGCAAAAAAGTGTTTACTACAACCACAATCAAAAGAAATATGCAATTAGACAGCTCACTTAGACCACATGGTACCCATTTGACGCCGGTTTTTTTCCTTTCCAACAAAAGTTAGACTTTTTACTGACCATACTGAATCGAGTGTTGCCATGGGAAGACAGTTCGCCACAAGTTTGACAGAAATAATCATCGCGACTAACTTAGGAGTGAAGAGAAAGTCATTTGCAATAAAAAAAAGACGCGAGCTCAACGCTATTCACTAGTGGTAAATGTATCTTTAAAATGTTATCGCCACTTAATGGATATGAGTAGTATTCAGTCAATAACTCCAGAAGCGCGCAATATTGTTGTGACAATTTCTTGAAGATTCGTGAATTTATACCCTTACAATTTAAAAAAGTACAGATGCACAAGCAGTTCATTCATCTCACACGTCACCGCTTGACAACTTTTTTATTGTCACAACTGAATAACGATCAAATTGACAATGTTGAGGGGGAAAGCACAAAAAACTGCTCCAAGATATGATTACAGACAGTAGCATGGAGTTCAAGTTCGAATCACTTAAACTGCTAGCCACCCAAACCTTCCAAGTAAGTCGGTAAACTCGATACTAAGACGTGTGCATTCAACTTAGACAAAAATTGCGTTTTTCCCCACCTGGGATCAACATCGCGCTCTCGGATAGGTGTCCCACCAGTGGAACGACGCACGGAGCGCAGTTTGATTGAACCAGAAGTAAGCTCCTTTAAAACTTGGGACATGTCACCCCTAGCTGCTGGTTGTGGCAGTTTTGACGGGTTGAGACCCTGGGGGAAAAAAAACAAACACAGAAGTGGAATGTGTCAGTAATACCCTGCGCAATGCCCACTGTTCTAACTTCAGGGACTTTTCTATTAAGCGCAAAAACTTCCCGACTAATGCTTCGCAAATTCAGTCTTCCTAAAATACCCTCTTTTCCAGCAGCTTGCTGCGCCAATCGAAGGTCGATGGTGGAGGTGGCGGCGGTGGAGGAGGAGGAGGAGGAGGTGGAACAGGCCCAGAAAACGCTGGTTGTGATGGCGGCACAAGAAGTCCCGATGAGGCAGTCTCCACCACCCCCGAGTCACTGAACGCCTCGTCGACGGCAGTGGGGGGCGAGGTGATGGCGGCAGCGATAGTGATCTCGCGATAGGACTCCTTTACTGGTGCTGTCTTCTCACCATCAAAAGCTGCGGTGGCGGGAAAACCCATACGATCGCGCTCCTGCTGGAACACCAGTTTGGCCAGCTGGGCTCGAAGTTGACCCAACTCAATCTCCAGGTTGGCGATCCTATCCGCATCCGTCAACTCTGGAGGTGGGGGGAGATGCCAGTGATAAACGAAACGTAGTGACTAATGCTGTCTTTTAAATCGCATTCCCCGCTTTTATCTACTACCAAGCATCGAATTGGTGGAATCTGAAATTACAAAGCAAAGGCAAACGTCTCGATAGGAAAGTTTTTCAGTTCTAGCAAATGCTAAAACGCTCCCTTGGCCAGAAAGGACCTTATGCTGAAGTGAACTGCTTAAATACTGGACAAAATAACTGTTTACAGGGACAAGCATTATGTTCACCGTTAAAATAATTAATCATAAACGAAATTTGATGATCTGGAACCATTCTCACGTTGTGAGGAAATAAAGCTAATGTAGATAAATTCATAATGAAGACTGAAAAATAGTTAACTGACAGGACATCACTGAAGTGCATCTTCCAGTGTCCACGTGGGTCTACTTCCTCGATGCACTTCGGTGAAAAAATGAAAATAACGAATTGGTAAAAGTGCTGACTATAAAAGGTTTAAATTTTTAACCTTGATACGATACACATTCATAGTATTAAAACTAGTATCATCAACCCTGATTTAAGGCATCCGATTACTGCCGAAACGGCCGAATTAGAAATCCGAAGACATCAGACGATCCTCGCGTCGCAAGGACCTGAGAATAACCCATATTAAAGTCAGTCAACAGCAAAATGATAGTAAATTTGGGCAGATGGGACAGTTCCAAAATGAAAACGCTTAAGTTGACTTGTTCAAGAGTTCACAAGATTCACAATCTCTTTAAAATATCCTTTTCTCCGGTGAAGCTCGGCAGAGAATCCATTGGTCAATCTCATCAATATCCGCGAGATTAAAAGCCAAGTTATAGCATAAACCTATAATTGTAATGAGAATTTATAAGACCGTGCCTGCTTCACTATCCTGTACTATACTCTACGATGATCAGAGTAGGAAAATGAAATGTGGTTAAAAAACAGCTAATTCAAATGATGCACGACTAGTGACAAAAAATGACATCTCACCGTGCACAGCTACTACTCCGGCTGCTTTTTTAGCTGCTACCTGTGAAACCGAATCATCAGCCAGCACCGCTGAGGACGTTGATGACTGGGTTTCATACTCTCCCGCCACAGAAGCCGGTTGACTCTCAGGTGGTTGGCCATAAAATTGAGTTGACTGGGAAAGCCAGGCATCACAGCGCGCAAAGATCCGTCGGCACCGTTTGTTGACCACCTCTGGACCTGCGAAGGAAGGCACCTCGGCTCCTACTGCCACCTCCGATCGATACTTCTCAAATTCCCCACGGTCTGCGTCGAAGGCGAAGATGGTGGGAGGACAGGGTGTCGCATTATGCTCGTAAGCAGTCCTTGAGGGCAAATCACCGACGTAACGGACGGCAACGGGTGGAAGATCAGAGCTTGACTTGGAGCGGGGGGAACCGAGGTCCGAGGAGGAAGAATCAAAAGGCCCGTTCATGGGGACCAGACTAAGTTGGGAAGAGGAGCATTCTACACTGTTGGTTGTGAGGCTGGATTCTTCCATCTTTGAGTGGAAAATGACAACTAGTATCAAAATGTTTATCACAACAAATGTTTTTTGACTGGTAAACTGGGTCATTATGCAGTATTTTTCGACGGCCACGTCGTATTCCATTCTTCATAGTGTAAAGAAAGATTGCTTTATCCCAGACATTACAAAGGGGAATTAATTTAGCAAAAGCGTCCATGCCCATTGCAGGGCCTATCCGGTTTATTTTGAAGCTTCTGCTATTACGCAATTTAAAAAAAATGCTACTGACGTAGCCCTACTCGTAATAGTACGTGACAAGTTTGTTTTTCCTACTATTGCTCATAATAGCCTAGGCATGTGGTGGGGAAATCGAGCCTGAATGCCGTTAATCGAGATGAACAGGCAACAGTGATGTGTACGTGCATGGAACAGCATATGATGACACATTAAGTTTTTTGCCAGCGGATGGTCACATTCCAGAACTATAAATACCTACCCCCCGCAGATGACTTTAAACACAACTAGATATTTTAATAGTTAACACTTCAAGGACTATCGCACGCCAGTCAGTGTTGATCCTGGCCGTACTGGTTCAAGGTCGACAACATAGTAGTCATTCCTGTGAGCACTATTTCATATCCATAGATACATACCTAATTCTGGGCGCCAGGTCAACAAATAGCGTACAGTGGGACAAAATTTTTCAAAGGATAAATCGTCCTGCAAAAATGGGAAGCACAACCACTTGCGCATATTTACAATTTTAAAACACCTGGCTGTGGCGACGCTTCCTAGGCATTAAATAAACTCCAATGCAGTGCGTACAGGTGGAGAGGGGCATCTTCAGAAAAAATGGCAGTTTTGCCCTCTGAACCACATTGCGCCCTTATATAAAAGTCCCAATTTGCCCGGAACGTCCCCCGTAGATAGTAAATCATTTAGTAATAGACACTTGTTTTGCAAAGCTACGTAATAAACGATATTAAAAATCGTTACCTCTGATTCAAACTCGTTTTGAGCAACACAGAGTTGAGCATTTCTTTCGAGTCTTCTAGCAGATAGGGATAACCGAGTCGCAGGGGTAGAGATGGGAATGTACCGGACCAAATGTCTCAGTGAAAAAACGGACCGAAGAAAACAAAACTAGGGTTGAAGGAATTCACTTTAAAAAGCTCATAAATGCATGGTGAGATGTAAGCAGTTAAATAAATGACGATTATACATTTGCGCAAAATGCGTTGTATTTTGATAGTACTGGGAAGAGAAATGAAGCGTAACGTACCAGCTGCGAAAGTGCAAACAGCTGAACGCGTTCTTTAGTCTTGATCACCATAATGGAATCAGCGTCAACACAGAGGACCAAAAACGAATCGCCCGACGGCCAAATTATCCGCCAGTGACACGCGACACATGTTCGACAATTTTAAAGTATGAAAAGTTTATAATAATCAACTGTGGATTTAAGTGTTACACACATATTAGAGGACAAATTACAACTGCACATATTTTATCGTAATTTCAAAGCCAAGTGTGAAAAAGGAGCGAATTTTAAAATAATTTTTTAGATGGGTTGACTTGCTGATAATGCACTGATATTTCAAGTAAAATTACTATCATTTTTAGAGAGATCCTATGCACACATTTTCAAACGCAGTCGGCAATATTCAAGCAAATTGTTGTGAAACTAAAGTAGTTTACAACGGGTGACTTGTCTTTAAGCACATTTTATCTCGTCATCTCGTTTATTGCCTCCTCTACTCATGAGACTTCCAAACCTAGGCGGAATCTATCTGATAGCCACCTGCTTTGCTCCCGCCATCACAAACTTTTCGTTAGTTAACACTTCTCGTCTTTTTGTGGTTTCCGCATTCAAAACGCCGCCCTGTTAATGTTGATAATTTTATGAAAATCGCCCTACACATTGCCTTTTTTCATTATCAAAACTCGCCATTTTATTTGGCTACAACGTGGACTGTCCCCTGAACCATTCGTGGTCGAGGATTACCTCCATCTGGCATCAAATGTTATTGGCCAAACATATCCACTAGTCCCAACCTCGTAACTAATCAACTTTATCAGTGTCATTTTCTTACTCGTTTATACAAGTGCGCTAAGACTATCAAATTCCAAAGTCGTATGGGGTCAACTTCATGTATCTATCAATAAAAATACAAAACGATGTGAAGCAATAGCGAAACCGATGTCACCTCTGCTACTGACTTGCCTGGGTAGAAATGCACAGAAGACCTTTTAATGTGTACATTAACATCTGTGTCGTAAAAATTTAAGCCGATTCGTTTCTTATCTTACTCCTTCATTCCTCTAAGTGCATGAGATGCATAAATAAAGTTATAGAATTATTCGTTATTCTAAGTGTAATGAATGGCTTACGATGACTAACACAAACGTCGTGCTAAGATCTTTAAGAATATTCGGTCCGCATAGCCCAGTTATTCGATAAATTTTACATGAGCCCAAATAATGTAAGGTTTTTATCTAGCATATTTGCTGTTCCCAAATCAACCACTTTAGTTATTCAGGGCACAATAATATCCCAGATCAATCTTATCTCTTAAAATTCAATTAATCTATTTCCTTTCAGCGATTTGGGGCAAAGAACCTATTTTTATTCACAGCTTAGACGAAGAACTTAAAACGATCACTAAAAATCAGTGTTTATATTGCCTTACTCGCTTCGTATTCTATCATACAGTCGTCTAATTTTGCGAGGAAGAGGTGCCGATCATCACTTAGAGAGGATGAAGATGAGGAGGCGTCTATTCCGTCCCAGCTATATTGGCAGTTGCCTCATGGCTAGGTTTGCAGCTGCATGAGTTATGAGGCTTTATGCTGCTCCGTCGTGCAAAAGTACGACTTTCTACTGACTGACCGACCAGTCCTGGCCACCTTGGCTGTGCCTTGGGAGGAAGTCTTCTTGGCCCCCTTTGAGTTGTGTCATGTTGCATGGATACTACAATCGCACTAGGTTGGCTTTCAGTAAGTGAACAAATTCCAGGGAGCAATCACGACTGTATTTTACCACCCATGTGCAGGGTAGGTGTAATCCTGGTCAGGTTAAGTGACGCCTATCTTAAAAATCTGGGTTGGTTATCAGAGTGGTGAATGATTTGCTGATAACCATTGGTATGTTCGCTTTCTTTCTTCGCAAGTTAGTTCGGCAATTAGTCATAAATCAGTGTAAATTCTACAGTGAGTCCGTAAAGAGTATGTGAATATAAGGAAGTAACCGAATGATATACATTGGAGCCTTTTGTCTGCCATCTGTTGCCACTGCATGGTATATGGGGGAGACTCATACGCTTGACAACTTCCACTGCAGCTTCCCCCTTCCTTCTTTGTCCATTGGTCTACCCACCCATCAGTCCATCCATCCACTCACCTAGTTATCCATTCATTCATCTTTTTGGTTATCTATTTTACCCATCTGGAAGTCGCTTATTTCTCACTTACGCATCCATTGTTAAATCACTTTAACAAGTATGAATGCTAGAGCAGGCCCAGTAACATAAACTAAGCACATAAGATGTAATGACAGCTGTCTGCAACCTGTCTTCTTTTTCAAAAGACGTGACTAGCTGTGTAAAAAGCATGATATCACTTATCATGCGCCCTCAAAATAAGGACCAAAAAAGAAGGAAGCGTTCTGATGAGCGCTGTCACAGCCCGAGCTCACGTACAATCACGAAGAGGTGCGGCGGAAGGTGCCGACTGGGTCAGCCGTTATTAAGTGGCGAGTTCTCGTGTGCGAGTGTATGTTGTAGTTGTCGCTCTAGTTTCGTGAATTCGTTTGGTAGTTTATTTCATCGACTTTTGTAAGTGTCCTGCACATTTTTAATCTATTTGTCTTAGATTTAGCCACCTATCCATCAGTTTTGGATCCATTGGCAATGGATCTAACAGCAACTCTTAGCCCATGCCGCCCTCAACCACCCATCCATGCAGTTCAATCTTACCATGTTAGCTATTTGCTCATTTATCCATTCATCATTTTTGAACCACTTCTTTACTAGCAATGGTTTTGTATAGGCAATTCGGTCTAAGGATGAATTTTAGCTAAAATTATGTCGAATCGAGTAGTTTTACTTAGCCACCTGGCATGGAAGGAGAGATACTAACTCCAGCTTCCGATTTGTCTACCCTGACCCCAACTTACAGGGCAAATTGCTCTTAGTATGTATCTAAAACGTCCGCATGAGAGCAATTATTCTTTTGACTGACTGAAGCTCCAAATACTATCTTACTTCCTTCTTTTAGCCCCATACAGTAATCAGGACTTGGAACCAACTCAACACATCAGTGAATTAGGTGGTACGTCATTGAACATGAATGACATTACGGTACAATCGCCCTCGTTTTTGCCTAACGAGCACGTTTTAAGATGGGAAATTTTTTGCATACTATGACATCTAGAATCAGAAAGTGGAGATTACGATGATGAAGATGAGTTCAAAAAAGGAAGGAGTGAGTACATAAACATGACATTGTATTAGAGCCCACAACGACGCTAGCTGAGGGGCAGATTTACAAGACTTTATGCGTGTTAAATATTCAATTTCACCATTTTACGAGGGTACATCTGTGTCATGACAAAAAAAACATGTTCGGAGATTTGCCATTTTGAATGGGTGAAATTCAATAAATTGGGTTTGAATGAGGAAAATTTGACTAATAAATAGAAGTTTGAGACAGAAGATCTCTATGGCTTAAAATCAGCCATACATTAAGTGATAGAGATGCCTGAACACAGACCGGGCCGATGAACTGAAGCCAGCCATAGTGGAAGGAAGCGGTGGATGCAGTCGCTACAATCAAGGAATTCCAATTAAAGGAATCTTTTTTAACCATTTGAGAAAAGTTTTCTAAAATTAGAGGCTTCATTACTTGATTTAATTTTTTATCGTAATAAATGGTTTCCTGCCAGTTGTGGAGTCATTTGAAAATCTTAAATTATATAATCGAACCAACATGAAAAATTTTTTTGATTACTCATAAATTTTCCGAGTTCACTCCATTTTTCGACTTAATTTTTATTTGATTTAATTTAAATTACGAAGTTTAGACCAAACCAATAAAAATTAGGGATTATGCCAATCCCGTAATACTCCCTGGTACCGCCAACCAATCAGAGCTCGCGGGCACCTTCGCAAGTACCGCCTATTGGTAGCCTACCGAGAAAGCGAAATTCGCGCATACTCTGCCTATCCACGAGTACCGAAGGCACTAGCTGCCGTCACCGCCGCAGCCGATGCGCTTTTTTTATTCGTGAATGAATTTACTAGCATTATTCACACCATTTTTTTTGACAATTTAATAGATAAATGACCTTGACTTCTGCCAATCATAACGACAAGTAAGTTTATTATCGTTCATGGATTTTTCTTCGAATATGCTAGAATACTCAAGTAAAGCAAAAAAGTTGATACGAAGTAAGCCTTGGTCTGGTATAGAAGTTCTCACTTAACTATTGGAAAAAATACTTACGTTTAACAGAGTATCGCAGTAGTTCAAATCATCTACGTAGTTTTATTGAAAGTACAGCGGCGTTTAAAAGTATTGCAACAAAAGTATAAGGTCATTTCACGCCTTTGTTAACTTCGAATGTCTACCATCAGGTGCCTGCAAGATGGATTCCTTAGTGAGGCTGGCGAAATTCAAAGCGTTTCTAGGGTACTTTTTATCCGTCTTTGAATTGAGAGGTCAGAAATTTTAAAACGGTTAGGAAGGGGAGCGTTTAAGGTTTGCTAACATGTTTGGTTGATGGTAGACAGATAAGGCTTTTTTATTGGCTTAGGAAACCTCTATTACCAAAGTAATCTTCGATCACTCAGAGTCACACATTTGTGATGACTTCTTTGTCGGATTATACAACTATGTTTACGCTAAATCCTATTCCCTAGACAGATTGCTCATTTAAAACAGCAAAATTGCTAATAAGATATTCCCAATCTGGAGATAATTACAATTTATTTGATTTTGAACAGAAAATTACTGAAAAATTCAAAAAAATGAGTATGTGAATTCAATCGTGTACATAATTCATTTCTAGTAGAAGTCGGATAAATCCATCCAACCGTATGTTCATCTCAAACTACGCTTGAAGAAGCCTTGATACTGTTTTATGTGGGCTCTCAAAACAAAGAAGCAAGGTGGAAAAGCCTCCGCAAGATTTTAGGATGTTAAGGAACATCAGATTGTGCAGCATTAGTATCGAGGTCAGTCCACCTTTTGAACTTGTGAGATATTGAAAACGGCGCCCAAGGGAACAAATACATCCCCAGGCTGTTATACCATCTTACTCACCCCAAGATTTGTTGCCAGACCTGAAGGTGACGGCCTGGCCGCCCACTAACCAGTGTACTTGCAAGACACGCACACGAGCACCCCGCGAATTCAATTGCAATTGAGCGCGGATAGACGCGCGCCTTGTCGCGCACGTACTTACGCGCCTACCGGCGTAGTAGCAGCAGCAGCAGCAGCAGAAGCAGTAACAACAAGTACAAGCAGTCTTTCACACCACATCTCACCGCATCCACCTCCTTGACGGACACTCTAAGGGGGAGGAAGATGAAACTAACTCCAGGCGCCGCGATATCCACTCCGCTGTTGAACGGTGTGACAGAGGCAGGAGAATTTGAGCCGCCACTGCAACTACCATCACTGCCACTCTCATCGATGGCAGAGTTGACACTCAGCGACAGAGATGCATGGCTTCGGCTTATGGAACAGCATCCGCTAATTCTACGGAATCTATTTAATGCCGCGACGCAGAGTTCAAGGCACAGCGGGACTGATGGTGGAAATCGGGCTTTCATCGAAATGAGTGAGTTGTGATTTACCTAGATGCATTTGACGTGCTTTTGGCAAATTAGATAAATTTCTACCTCAAAATTGAACCTCTTATCAAGATTGGCCTTTGTGATAGACCTCTTCCAATTTTTAGTTAACTTGTTGACACCACCCTAGCCGCCAGAGGTCACCATTCGCCCTCACTTGAAGCTAAAACAATTGTTTGATTCAATAATTAAATTAGGGTCATGTATTTATTTTATAGCATCAAGATTAAACGACTCCTTACCATGTTGGTCACTCAGTGTTATTACCCTAAGTACAACCCACTGCATTCTCCCATGAGATGAAGGATCACTGAGAATTCTACCTTCTTATAGCACTTAGAAGTTGAAGTTTCCATGTCGGATTAACTTTTAAGCTGTTTTTTCACATGCAAAGCGTTTAATGTAATGGCAGGATGATAAAGTCCGTAACAGCGGGACGTAGTGCATGAGGTCATGCGTCGTGCTGTCTGGTAGGTAGGAAGCGTGCTTCCAAATGATTGACTGGATGAGTAGTTTTGACTGTTTCGCCCATTACAGCTGTTACTTTTGCGCCGTCAGTTTGTATCCTATTACAGTAGATGACTTCTCAGTCGTGATTGTTTTACCTTCATCGAGTGAGTTGGCCTATCCACAGTGGGTCCGTTCCGCTACATACCCCACCTCCTCCTAAGTGACAAACTACTTCTACAAGGCAATTTTGCAGCTTCGAAATAGAGTTAAGCTTTTTGTTCTAGGCAAAGAAATTTAACATTTACTCAGTAGATACATTCAACCGACATTCGAGGAAATGGCTACTAATTTATAACCACGTATAGCGCCCTCTTCTGATTACCCAAGAAGCTTCCCCATAACATTTTACTGTTCTTTATTTTCACTTTTAAAACGCAAAATTGGGTTTATTAATTCGGACACAACTCTTGTAAAAAAATTTTATTTGATGTCTTTGTTATCACCAAACCTTGTCGCTTCGTGTGGTTAGAACGTGAACCATTTCGAAAAGTCATTTGAGGTAGAATATTATTCCCCCTCTGGAATCAGATCTTCTTGCTTTAAAACGTAGTAAATAGTCAAACTAGTTATTATCAAACTCTTTTCAAATAGTCTTACGAATGCATTAGAGCTGTGTAAATCGGAAGGCCTCCAAAGAATGTTTATTTATAAGTAAAGTGATTAAAATAGTTGAGCTGTTTATCATCTCATTTCTTGATAATCCTCTTTACTAGTCATTTTTGAAAGTGGGATCTTTTACACGTTTTATTCATCAAAAATGTTAATTTTTCGGTCTTACACAACCATGACTCAATGCATATTCCAGCATTTTGTTTGATCACACGATGTGAAACTTAACTTTTATCATTTTTCTTTCATTTAATGTACAATTTGATGAAAGCTTCTAATTAATGCCTTTTAACAGAAATCTTAGTGTAGCACCAAGAGTAATTCATGAAGAAGGAAGGTATGATAATAGCAGGGCAGATTATGCAATGTAGACGTGCAGAAGGGCAGAGCTTCTGACATGTCCCGGAAGCCATGCCGCCCAGAGGAAATATTGCGACAGAGCCTTGGATATCCGTGAAACCAAAGCGGTGTTTTAAACACCAAGATGCAATAATCATCAAAATCTACAAAGATTAGAACGCCTACGAGATAACCTCGCATTCGCATCCTCCTTAGTCTACATCGTTAAAGTTTTGGAGGGCCTCCGAAGTTAGCACTCTTCTGTACGAAATAGGATCACGAACCCTTGAAAATGAACTGTGACAGAAACGAGAGTGTAGTGGGCCAAAATTTTTTAAGCAGTCAATAGAAGGACGGATGTAATTCGGGTCCAGTCGGAAGATAATACTGTTGTAGTGCTGCTTACCCCAATGAACAGGGCATAAAATCGCACAAAGTTATTCTTGACCTCCTCAAACCGAAATAAATCCACTTTTAAGAAAGATAAAGCCTATATTTTCAGGTGAGTCTTCTATCCCACTGACATCACAAGAGGATCAAGGCAGCCTACCTCAAATTTCATTGACCTTGAAGTCATTGCCTTCAGAACCCCGCTTGAATCCTATTGGTTCTCTACCAGTAGGTACTAAAAGACCAACTTCAGGCTCCTTTGTACTGGAATCCAACTGCCCCTTTGTCATGGACAAATTACCGGTGAGTAGTTGCCTGGTCACTGATCATGACCACGATATGATTCGTGACATGGTACAACCAATACTTTGGCATTTAAAAAAAGAACAAACAAAGTTTACTAGGGAAAAACCGAAGTTCTTTGCTGGAACCTCCAGTACCCCTAAACCAATATCACCGACAAATTTAAATATTCGTAAAAGTATCAGTTTACGGTTCGTCTAAAGTTTCCCCTGTTGTGAGCCAATTAGGCGTCCGGGCATTCCATGTACTGATTAATCGCTGTGTTACGGGCTGTGAGCTACCGCGGCTGGGAGTGACACCAACCAACTTGTGATCACCTTTGGTCCTGAAAACATTTACACCATTCAAAATCCCGATGTAGTTGAATACTCCATCACCGTGCTATACCGTGCTTGATTATATCTGTGAGTAAATATTTGGAGAGTTGGGTTTTACACCTTTGTCGACAAGGTGCTTTAGTCATCACCACATCCCATTCAAAGTCTCTCACCCAGTCCAGAGATGAACGATGATTATCAGGGATAGGAGAGGTCAGACTTGACACCTCATTTGGTGTTTATTACTACCAAGATAGAACTGTAAAACTGAACAGAATGTTCCAGTTCCAAAAAATTTTTACCAAAAAGCGGTACTTTCAATGAGAGCTTGCGCACGGAATGGCAGTTGTAATGGATATCTTAATCCATCAATAAGGCTGTTAATTTAATGTCAAAAAATCTCACCAATGTTAGATGCAAAAAAAACTTTGGCATCGGGAGGTGAAGGCGGTGGCAGCAAAACAGACAAGATGCATACTGTAAAGCGAGGGGGATAGAAAGGGCCGGAGGTGGTTGTAGCGATTACTTGCAGTGTTGTGTTGCGCTACTTCTTGGGAGTTGGACCACCCATTGAAGAATACGGGTAGGAACAAGGTTAATTGGGTTTTATGAGAATTTCCACTGTCATTTAACTACTTGCACCTTCCGCTCTTTAACTTATTTTGCCTTTGATTCTTTTAGACTTTAAATCCTCTCGAGACCTTTAAGAAACGCGAGGCTTTACAATTCACCTCCAATGAGATCGAGGAAAATCGGTACGAAACGATTTAATGTTATTTTATGATGAGAATGACAGAGCTCAATTCCAGCACCTAAGAAGAAGATGTTTCTTCGTTTTTGTTCTATTTAAATGAATTGAAAGGACCTTGAGAAATTTCTGACTAATCACTTTATCTACAGAAGGAAATGGTGGAAGAAATGTAGATACTTTTAAAGAAAACTCGAAAAAATTGCACGCATGAGTAGCGTGCAGAGGGCCCTTTGGTGAAATCATAGATGCTGGTCTATCATAAGACATATACCACCTTGTTGCCTCGTCTTCATTTATTTTGAATACCTCTGATGCTGTCCGTGACAATTTGAGTGAGAAAAGTAGGCTTCGCAGCGACGCCTTCTTGGTGACGCCTTGAAGAAGACATCTAAACCTATCAACAGGAATGCTGTCCGTATTTCTAAGATGCACATTCCGTCATCATTTCATGCCTATGCTTGCCCCACTAATTTGCATGGTGCCTGTGGGTAGATGTATCCAGTGGTGAATGCTCACCCACCTAAGCTCAAATGGCAAATACAGCTTAGACCTATGCACTTGGTACCACACAGTTTGAAGGTGGTCAAGAAATGGTCAGGAATAATGAGTCGGTCTGAAGATATTGCAATACGTTTACTTCTTGCCTCATATCACCGCAAAACTTACCTGTAACAAGATTTGGGCTTTGGTTGCAGTGAGCCGAAAGCTTGGATGGAAGGGATTCCGCCTTCTTCTAATCTTCAGTTTCATTCCTGGAACTTTTTTATTTCTCCTTCTCAAACTGCTGCCAATCATTGGTTTCGCGGTCAATTTAGAAGCAGAGGAGATAGTCAGAAGATAAAGTTTGATAGGCGGTGGAGTGGCGCGAACTAGGTTGTTTGCTTCTAGGAACAAAACATCTCGTTCAAAAAAATGGAGTTGTTAACAGACCTATATTCCGTCGAGTGTGTCAAGAAGGAAAATATGGCAAGATCTGCGTGTGTGAGAACCATGCGAACTTACTCATTTTTACTCATCCCCTTGGATGAGTCTGCCCGGTCATTTAGATCAGATACGCACAAACACAATCCATGTGGCTTTGAGTCATTATTTGTACACTAATACAAGCATGAGTCAGGATTTGGTATAAATTCTGAAGCGTACATCACCTCAGTTATAGGCCGCCATCATTGCAGCCCAATTGGAAGCGGTTCAAAATGACATGCTACATTCTACCTAAATAAATTTATTTTTTGTATCCAACAGCTCGTTAAAATAATACACTAGCAAGCTCAGTATACAAAAGACAAAGGCAATAAAACACAGTAATTTTAATGGAGTAGCGCAAGATACACCTTCAAAATGGATTACCCACACTTGATTCATAAGCCTTTAACAAAAATATACTTGGTTTATATTTTCTTTGAAGAGACACTTTCTTAGCCCCATAGGCGTGCAATAATGTCGTTAAAATTTAGTTGGTGATGACGCAACTAGAGGGATGATGTTGTGTGAAAAGTGACAATGTTTGTCATTTTCCTCCAATTGTCAGATAGGCTTTATTGGTGGTGTGAGCCGTTGATTTAAAAAACAAAAACCAAAAGCAAGCCATAAATCAGGTGCATCTCTTATGCCTGAATTCTAGCCTAATACAATTTTTTAATAAAGTGAGTTAAACACGTGACCTTGAGGTGATTGTTGGATTTTAACTTGACTATTCTGCTCGATAACATTAATGTCGTAATGTGAAACCTCCTCCCTTTAACTGTTTATTTTATGCTTTTTTGATACAAGCCAAAATCTAGTTACTTTAGCACATCTTTAAATTATTATCGTGCCCTCAAGAGTCTTGCCTGCAGTCGTAAGAACTTAGAGTAATCATGTAGTAAATATATTACTGTTGTATAAAAGGGTTGAGGCTCCTGGCATGACCTAAGGACCATACCACTGAGCAGGAGTGCAATTCGCGAGGACTTAAGCGTCCTCGGAATCAAAGTTGGAGTTGAGCAATTTGTAAAATACTGCATTGCATTTTCTTTAATAAACATTCAGGAAATATCGCATGGTTACTCAAATGTGCCGTAAGTTACTTAGATTAAGAAAGTCAGATTGGTGAGGAAATGTGACAGATTGAGCTAATTTTATGTCACCCCCCTGTCTACTGGCTTTGCCTTTTTTTTAATAACCGTCTTGCATTAAGCGATATAATGGTCTGGAATAGAATATAATGGCAATATTTAGCCATTAGAATGTCATTTATATGCCTCTCAGAGGTAAGCGATAGCTGATTCTCTCCTGGAGTGGTGAAATACCCAAACTCTGGTTGTCCTTTTAAAGTGTTATTCTCGACACTCAACTATGAGTGACCTGCATCAACCATAAAAATAGCACTTGGGATTGGTAAAGTCGCCTTCGAGACAGAGTTGAAGACCATGCGATGACGTCTCAACAAACGGAGAAGTAAATGGAATTTTAATTTGGATTTTGGTATGATTTATCCGTCATGAGCCCTGTCAGACAGCGTAAATTGGAGAGATTTTGTTGGGAGATATTTCTCAAGACTGAAAGATATCTTACAGCGAACGTTATTCATATACCTGGAGCACCTCAAAGGCAAATTTATCCGTAGGCATAGTGATACCCGCCCTTTTTTTTTCTACTTTCTACCATCACTTTAACACTGATTAGCATTCTTCATAAGCTGTTCGCACTTTCTCGTGAAAGAATGAAGCACTAAGCCTTCGCATTGGTCTGAATTTGTCTTTTCTCAGCAGTCGGGGAGGCGCTTTCCCATGACAACAAGCCCTTCAAGTCTGGTCTCGATCTATAAGGTGCTTATAACACTCCATTTTAGTTTGTCATCAGTCAATGCTGCCATCCTAAAGAATAAAGCAGACAAATGAAAATCGTTTTAAAGTGAGGCCTTTTTTTCTTGTAGAGAAGATAGATTGCCAGTAAAGAAGAAAGTAGCCACACGTGAGACAACTTGTCTTCTCAAGAAATGGCTCTACGAGCATCGCAAGAACCCCTATCCCACCAAAGAGGAAAAAGCTATGCTGGCCGCAGTGACACGCATGAATCTAACTCAAGTATCCACCTGGTTTGCCAACGCAAGACGACGTTTGAAAAAGGAGAATCGATTGACTTGGAATGCTACGAATCGAACACTTCCACCACATCTCTCGCCACCATCACCATCGACAACCTTCCAACCTCTACCCCCGATGTTCTGGAACGAGGATTGGAGCATTGCTAGAACTCTCACTAGCCAGGTCCATTCCATTCTGTGGTCCCAAGTAGTGAAAGATACCAGATCTCGCGTGACAACAAATGGATTTGAAAAAGAGGTGGTTTTGGAACCAACTTCAATGCCACCATCTTCACCACCTCCACCTCCTCCTCCACCTTCTTCGACAAAAATCTGGTCACTGGCAGCACTTGTGGAGGAACGGCCGCCTTGCAAAGAACCCTCTAGTGGCAATAACTGATGATGTGGAAGACTCGCTTACCCTTGATAATGTTTTACTTTGCGCATAAGTGTTAAAAATATGCTACCTTCCCTTTTTAGGGCCTAGTGGAAATAAGTTAAATAGTTTTGTTCTAGGTCTTTTTGAGTTAAGGTGGAAGTTATACTGCTGATCCTCCAGCTGTTTAGCATAAAGTTTCGCAAACAGATTAATGATTTAGTTAAATGTTTAAAAATTGCTCCTTCTTTTCAACATTTTATTATTCAATGGTGTAAAATTTATCCACTCCATTGACTAGTTTCAGTGAAGCCTTAGTAAAGATTCACATTAAGACTGTTGAGTGAATTTTTTTTCAATCTGACTGGAATGACGCAATAATGGAATTTTCTGGTTTAAAACTTAGTGATAAACGATTTTGGTAGGTTAATAAGCAAAGAATACCCTCTGAAGCCATCCAGGCTGGTGATTGGTTCCAAGCGATTTAATAGTCCATAATTTCGTGCTACTAATCCAGAAACGGATGCACTCCTCGTTTTCTATCACAAGCTCTGTCTAATACCCACCTACGGCAATTCAAACAGTGTTGCTGTTGTCATGGCTCTCTGTCGCATTATCGCTCGCACACATGTCATATGGGGTCACTCAAGCCACCGATAGTTAAAATGTCAGGCGATGCTAGTGCGCGTGTATAAACACAACAACGGCCTCTTTTCTAACAATAACAAGAGCATGCAATCCAAACCGGCGGATTCAGACACGTATCTACCGAAAACTTCAAGCACCGTTTGTACAGTGAAGTGACTGTTAGACGCATCCCTTTTAAGGCATTTGATTGGTTAGGGTAAATTTTCGAACACTGACAAATTTTTTCTTGCCAAAATTGCTTTATAGATGAGGTGTAAAAGTGTGAGGGAGAACTAAGTCAAAAAATTTCGTTTCTACACCTTAAACGACCCACTTTTATTTCGAATTTACAAATCCCAATTTGACTTGAATAATGACGCTTAAGCAATAGCTACAACTTGGTCTGTCAGGTCCATCACTTCTTATGTGGGTGTATCAGACTGCTTGATGTCTGCTAAATAGCAATAATAGATTCTTACAAAGCATAGGCTGAAAAAAAAAACAAGGTTTGGTGAAAATGTTCGCCAAAATCCCAAAGCATTATGCCTTTTTTTCCCCTTCTTCCCTTTCAACTCGTCATCATTTCCATTTGAAGATTAGAAATAATGTTTGGCTGTGCAAGAAATGCCACACCTTACAACGGATGATAGGCTTATAAGGAAAAGCAGTCATGCTATTGTCCAACCCGTGCACAGAAAAGCTTGCACACACCCAGTTTGGCTCACATCAACATAGCAGACACTATTACCCCCACTATAAGGCCTAATGTCAAAGATTTTTGCTTGAAAAGGAGTAAGATGGGAAAAAAGGTAAACACCTGGAAGTGAGAATTTTGCCTTGATACAGGAAAACGGATTATGGAATCGAGTCACGAGGGATGTTTTAGTCAAAACGGGACTTTTAGATTACAATGGAAGCAAACAGGTTTCAAAAGATATAAATAGTCCC